TATAGTTCATGTATTTCAAAAAATCGATTCTTGTATATGATAATTTATTTGGTATTTATCAATTCACATTGATATGATTATTCGTTACAATCAATTCTATAAAAGTAAATTATCTGGAAACCTTTTGAATTGAGGCCTTTCTTTATATTCATATATATAAACTTACCATTTCTATTATTAGAGTGTGATACTATGCATCTGGATTAACTCTCATTTTTTTAAATCTTAGAAGGTCAATAATCATGAACTCTATGTATTTTGAGGGGAACTAGTAGTTTAAACCTGATGGACATTTAAATGATTGGGTAGTACTCTCTGGCATGCTTTTTTCATATCTAAAAACTCATAATTTAAAAGTATGAACCTTTGTTGTTTAGCTCCTTTGGTTTCTGTAACAAATGTATATACTAAAATTTAGAAATTCACATGGCTACTGAATGTTAAATCCAATTGAATTTTATCAACAGAATCATATACAATTTCTGCATTAATTATTTGCAAATTTAGCTTAATAATATCAACATTCCCTGATTTAGATTGCTTAATCAAAATATTAGGAGTGTCCATTACTTAACTTTAAATGACTTAAATTCATAATAATAATTGAATTACTTAAATCCAAATTCTTTGATATTTCTTTTTAATTTTTTAGAATATTTCCCATATTAATTTTTATGCAATAACAAAATTTTACATTACTTGATTTAGTATTCCAAGAACAATAAATTCAGAATTAGATTTCTAATAAGTGCAGCATCAAAGAAACAGCCAAATTTATTCCATACAATCCACTTGGTCTTAGTCTTTATCTTGAAGCTAATTGTAATACAGAAACTATTAGTAAATTAATATTCAGTCAAATATTGAAAATGATTGAAGATAAACTATTAGAATTAGAGGAACGTTTAGACAATAGAGATTAAATCAAAAATATAAATCAACAAATAAATTCACTTAAACCTCCTGACCCTTATTTTAAGTCTAGACCTATTGACGATACATTATCAGAATATGTCAAATAAAGTAAATAAAATTTATTTTCAAAGGAAAATACAGTTAATAATCTGATATGGAAATAACATCACCATAAGCTAATTAACCATAAGATTAAAAGTCTATTAAATCATAAAAATCTTAGAGATCTCGTTCTTAATTAGGAAGAGCACATACTGAAATTACATAATTAGATCCAAAACTTAAATCTAATGAGGAAGGACTCATTTCAAAAATAGAATTATTTGATAAAAAACTAAAATAAGTTGTAGAATAAGTTAATAAACTATCACAAAAAGATGATTAATTTTAGAGAAGAATTGAATAATAAGTTTAATCTTAATTGAGGGATAGTTAAGATAGATTGATACAAAATGATAAATTTTTTAAATAAGTATAATAAACCAATTAAGAAATAACAGAAAATTAAAGAGGATTTCTAAGTCGATCTGCATAATTAAGATAAGAAATGGAGTAAATATATTTTATTAAAATTATTAGTTATTTATCATAAGAACTAAATAAAATCTAGGAAGAAAATAAGCTTCCTTTATTATAACTCCAAGAAAGCGTTTAAGAATTGTAAAAATAAGTAGGTCTTCATTAAAATGAGCTAATAGTATTTAAAACAATTCTAGAGTCAATAGATAATGATTTTTTGATATTGCTTAAAAAATTTAAGGACATATAGAATGATTTAGCTAAAAAAAAATTAAACTCTAGTATGAGTAGTCATCATCAATATCTAAAATGAAGACAGAAATTAAATTTGAAGTATATTATTATAATCAAAATTTAATATTCTTTCTTGCTCAATTATTACTTCTCTAGAAAATGAACCTTCAATTTTAAGTATAAAATTTAGTATTAATGGCTATTAAAATAATATTCTAAGCTCTTGTAAATTTGTGTCTTTATATACACACTATTTTAAAAATACACATCTTAGGTTGCATAGTCAAATTCAAAATTGATAATATCGATTTTAATAAATTTAATCTTTATGCAAAATTGTAATTAATATTAATATTTATATCTTAAAATATCTTGTTAAAATTATATAATTGAATATTTGATAAAAATATTTTAGATATCAAAATAGTAAGGAATTAGAATAAGAATAAGTTATTTTACAATCAAGATCTTCATCTTATGTGTCTTTCCGGAAGCAAGGTTTGATTAAAATAACAGATAAATTAAATACAAAATCTACTATTTCTCTCCTTAATTAAGTTTACTTGAACTTCGTGAAAGTCTAATATATTATTTTATTTTATAAGTCTTATTATATTTGTTAATTTTAGTTAAAGAACTTAATCTATTTATTCATTATGGGATCTTTTATATTAAATTAGACCAATTAAAATAATTCAAATAGATTATTTTATTATTAAAATCTGTTTTATTATTATAACTTCTATTTATTGTTTAAGAATTAAGGAAATAATACAGAATCAATTAATTAAGCTAAATTTATTATTTTATAGGCCTCTCTATTTGAAAATTTTAATTTATAATATACTCTAAATTTATTTGTCTTTTTAATTTTCCATTTAGTAAATGTTATTAAATAAGTTTGATTTGTCATTAATTATTTAACAATCATAATGTAATTCTATTTCAGTATTTTTGATTTTAGTAATAGATTATTGAAAACTTATTATTATTAGTAATGAGTTTAAATAAAGAGAATATTGAAAAATATTAAACAATAAAAAATCATCCTGCATTTGAAAAATTAAACTACGAAATAGTTAAAAGCATATCTGAATAACTCTTTGTAATAGATTATAGAAAATATGGAATTGTCTTAAGAGAAAATATAGATAAATAATCATTCATGTACCTTGTAAGAAATGGAGAATTCAAAGTAAGTTATTATTTAATATAAGATGACAAAAAAGAAGTCATATGAATAAAAATAATTAAGAAAATAAACAATTGAAATTTGCATACTAATTAAAGGAGATTCATTTGGAATTGAACATTTTAAGGATGACATTTAATAAATTTACAGCTATACAGTACTAATAATTTTATTTATGAAGAGGTTTCATGTTGCTCTATTCAAGGTTCTTTATATGTTTTAGATCTTAGTTAATTAAGATATATACTCTTCCATCATAATTATTTTTGTTCCTTAAGTTAACTATTTAAATATCCAATCTAAATTATGAAAAATTAAATCTATCTCTTAAGAGAACAGCAAATTATATAATAAGAAAAAAAAGAAATTATAAGAGAAGAATCTTAATTCTTACCAAGAAAAAATTCAACTAGATTAAGATCTAATAGTTCATAATTTACATATGCAGATAAAGTTGGTTTCATTATATAAGGTTAAAGTTAATATTTAAATAATAAATTTCTTACTAACCAAACTATTGATGAAGATAAATACATGCATGAATCAATTATGTAGAATATACGAGCAATGAAATCTAATCTTTAGGAATCAAACAAAATTATTAGTAAAAGTATCAATGCTGTTAATACACCTGAAGAAAGACTATAATTTATTAAGCATGATGATTATAGATCCAAAATGAAAATTATGAATTTATTAGGTTATAAATCAAAATAGAAAAGATAAACTAATTATACTAGATTTTGGAACTTTAAATCTTTACCTTCTAATGGATGATAAATATATATTAAATATTTTACATACATATATTAAATCACCACTTTTCTATTTTAGTTTCTTAATCTAAATTAATATTTTTTATTCTTTATTTTTATTTCTTATCAATTTATTTGTTCTTTTCTACTTTTACAATCTAACTTCTTTTTGGTTTCTTAATTATTACAGCTTCTTATTCTTATTCTAAATCATACGATACCATAGGTTAAGAAATCTTTTTTTATACTTTTTCTGTTTTCTCTCTTATTTTCTATGGCACTTTAGATTAATGTTATTCCAAGACTTTCTCAGCAGCTAAATTATTAATAAATCTAATTCTAGGAAATTTTATTGCAATTTAAATAGCCTTATCTGAACAAGGATTACCTGCTATATTTAAATGAATTAATTTTAAATCTTTTAAAACAATCATTTATTATGGGTCTTTGATATCATTTTTCCCTATATCAAGTCTCTTTAGTTTTGTTAATTGTGAAAAAAACTTTGGTATTTCTTATATTTTATTATTATTAACATTTAATTATTCTAAATTCATACATATGCAATTTTCTAGGTCCTATAATATTTATATCTATATTTACTTCAATTTAATTATGAGATAGTTATAATTTTTCTAATTTATTTAAATGTGAGATCCCTTATACATTTATTATTTAATTATTTGATAAGACTAAAGTATTCAATTCTAAGCATTTTTCTAATCCTTATATTAATTTAATTTAATTGTTGTTTAAAATCAAAGCACATAGTTATTTTAAATTAGTTAAACCTTCAATCTTTTGAATTTAATTATGAGACAAATTTAATACTCTTAAATTATGAAAAATAGAAATTCCAATCATTTATTTAATTGAATTTTTTGATGCATTAAAATTAGTAATTTATAATGATCGATTATATGATTGTTTATTAATCGTAATCTAAGTTAAATTCTAATTTAATAATGATAATGTCTTGTCATTTTCTTTTATGTCAATATCTCCCATAATTAAATATATATATAAATATTATTTTTATTTTACTTTTACTTTTTATAATATATTATTGCTGATTATAATGATAATTTTTACTTATAATATAAAGAAGTCAAACATTTAATAGTAAATGAATTTTATATTCTTCATTATTTTTATATATTATACATCAAAAAATTAATTTATATAACATTTTTCTATTCTAATACCTTATAGAATAATCAAAAGTGTTTAAATTGAACATAAATCAACTTAAATTTATTTTTAATATTCAAAAGGATTTGCATTGTTTTATTGTTGAATTTAAAAATAATAATGCTCCCCAGATAATTTTGATATTTTTTTTTTCTTTTATTTAGTATTTGTTTTAATATTATTAACTAATGAAAATGAATTCTTACAAAGTTGTTAGCATGGATTTTACAAGAACAGATGGATAAGTAACAGTTAAGATACGCCCTAAAGTAGAAAGCTCAGAAGATAAAGATGATGATATGTTTAAAAAGTAAAAAGTCACAGATCCAATCGCAAAAAATTAATCTAAATAATTTCAGAATTAAAATCTAATAAGGAGTAAATATAGATGTAGTAAATCTGATATTGCATCTCTAAAACGACTTTTAAAAAGATCATATAATATAAAAGAATTTAAAGAATTTTACAAAATATATGGTCCTAAGTTAATAGAAATTGATTTTGGAAATATAGAATTATTTAATGTGAAAGTAAACAAGTATTTTAGCAATAATAGGGATTAAATTAGTATTCTATTACAGAATTATAACAATTTAATAAAGAATAAAATTTTTTAAGATGGGGAAAGTTATTCTCAATTAATTAACTTTCGAAATATAATGATAATTCATTAATTCAAAATTAAATTGCAGCATTACAGTATATATTTTAATAAAATTAGATTTTATAATATTTTAATCAGAGAAAGAATATTCACTTTAAGAACATTACGATATTATAAAAATGATAAGAAAAGAAAAGAATTTCCCTATTAATATTTATATATTTATGATTTAGAAGATTGTCTATAATTTAATTTATAATCCTTTTAAGATTAAGCATCTGGATAAATTAAAATATAGAATCATGGATTACCTTAATTGAAATACAATTTTTTTTAAAAATAGTATGATAATTTTTAATTTGAGAACATAATAGTCCCTTTTTTTTAGGTTAAATTTGACGAACAGAAGTATATTTAATTATTTTTTGTCCATTTCAGCAAGAGTGGTTATAAATAAAAATAATCAAGAATTGCTGCAGATGGATAAGATAAAGATGATTAAGATAAACTATATCAATGTTATATATTTGTTAATTTTGATACTTCATATTATTCTCAGTAGTAGTTAATGAATGGAGTTTAAGAATTTGCCCATTTTCATAATTTTGAATTAACACCCCAAGAAATTTAATTTGTTAATATTAAAAGGTAATCAAAAGATTTATAAATTAGTTAAGGAAAAAGCTTCACAGAAGATTATGCGGAATATATTGAAACTGAATTTTTCTTATAAGAGAAAGGTTCAATTAATCATTAAATGAATTACATTTTTAACTAGTTACCTAAAGAAATGGCTAAGAAACATTTCAATGATATTTTGAATGATTAATTTATTATTCCTAAAAATATTGAGAGTTTATTGGAATAATTCTTTGGAAAATGATATTGAAAAATTATAAATAGTATTATTATAAAATTATTACAATAATTATGAATTTTTGATTATTAATAACCCCAAATCATTAAACTAATGAAATATTATAATATCTTTTTAAATATGAATTGATTATTTAAGTGATTCTCAAAGATATATCTATATTTCAATATAATAAAAATATCAAACAAGTAAGAATGATGTATCATAATTAACACTTTATAGTAATAGCCCAATTTATTCATAAGAAAACATGTGATGGATTATAATGTATAAAGTTTATAGAAATAAAGAACAATTATAAGTTTCGATAGAGATAATAGTTTTAGAGCAACTTAAATTTCAAAAAAAATAATAATTATAATACAAATTAAATTAAATTAATATTTTATCAAAATTTTACAAATTCATTTTTTTATCCTCTCTAAAACATTATAACGATAAAGTAGAGAGGGTTCATAGTATTAGTCAACATTAACTCTTGAGTTTCTTTGAGATTTTGAATACAAATATAAATCATTTAGATTTTATCTTTTTCGAGTATTAATTTTTTTTAAATTATAATTATGCGAGAAAGTAGAATTGTTCATTTAATTCTGTGTTTAAAATTTGTTAAATTCATTATCTATGATATGAGGAGATTAGATATCGCAATCTTATACTTTTGATTAAAATTATCTTGAAGCTGATAGACTTATACTTTATGATCTATTTGAAGATTAATTATTGAAAGTATTTTTTTAGTTAATTTTTCTTTAAATTTTAACTAATTAATCATATTGATTTAAATTTATTTCTTCAATTATATCAATTTAAGTTGCTTATTCCTTTAAAATAATACTCTTTTATTTATATTCAAATAAAATTTCTTTTTCCCTTTTTTAAGTATTAAATTAACTTATTTATTATTCTAGATTGTTAATTCTGATATTTAAAGTTTAAATGAGCAATTATTATTGAAGAATCTATTTATTTTTTGAAATTAGTTCGTTATTTTTTTCATCTAACTCTAATTATAAATCATTCAACATTTTTTAGTAATGAAGAAACAAATTTTAGTTATTTTAGTCTTAACTTCTTAACTATAATTCTATTCTTAATTAAATATTATCATTATTTAATTCTGATATCATTGATTAGTATTCATGTATTTTTTTTTTTAAGCATTCCATTAATTATATCTACTCTAAATTTTTCATCAATATATTTGATTATAATTAAGCAGTTTCCTTCTAAACCAAGTTTATAAGTGTTTAAATAGTAGTATTGAATATTTATTTATACCTAGATAAATTATCTTAAATTTTGTACTTTGTTTCAATGTTCGATATTTCAATGTAATTTGATTTTCTTAAGGTTTCGACTAATTTGTTATCGTAATTAATGTTTGAACGATTCTCAAAATCATTTATTTATCCATCCAATGATTTGGTAATTAGTTGCATTATTTGATATTCATCCATACTATTATTAAAAAATAATTATGTAGATTTAATTTATTGAGATTATAAATACAAAAATTAATATAAAACAATGGAAAAATAGGTTGATTCCTAATTCAATTCTACTTTTTGGAGATAAATCCATTAGGAATATTTTATGATAGAAACACCTGTCTCATTAAATAATATGATAAAATAATATCAAAAAAGTAATTGTTTATGAAGAATTTTAGTAGAGAATAATTTCTAAAAGAAAGGCAATGAATTGATTAATTAAGTGTTAAAATTATCAAAGAAGAACAAAAGTAAAATGGAAAAATTAAATGACTCTAATCTAATAAGTCGTTTAAATTTGATTTTAATGCAAAGATTAAAATCATCCGAGCCAATCTAATAATTGATTAAAGGTATGATAAATAGTGTTTATGAAGATAAACTTATTGATGAACTAGAAAGTTGCTCAACATTAATTAGGAATATTCATTTACTGCCAGAAGAAAAATAAATTAACATTTATTATGAAGAAGAATAATAATTAAAAAGTATGCATTCTTAGATAAATTAACCTGGTTAAATAAGTTAAGTAATAATGGAACTTGAAAATGATTTAATGTAGTTAAAATAAAAAAATACATTAAGTATTTAAAAGTATTGAACTTTTTTTTATTGTAGTCTGTAAACACACCTTTAAGAAATTAATAATTCATTGAAGTTTCAATACAATATTCAGTAAATAGGAGAGTATAAATTGAAAATTTCCAGAAACAATGTTTAACATCATCAATAAGAGTTGGCCAATCTTTATAATTTGATTAATATGTATGAAGACTATTAAGTTGCTGAAAGCATTGGAAGAGTTATTTATAATTAAAATAGTATTTAATAATTAATTATGAATAGATAAGAATATAACTGTTATTTTAGATAAATATTTAAGTATTAATCCTGTAGAATTAAGTTTATAATAATTTGAATCTCTTTAAAAATTAAGAGATATACGTATTACTTTATAAGAATAGGATTAAGAACAACATTTAAAATAGTCAAATTAAGATTTATAGATGTGTCATCATTGTAGATAAATGATAGAATAAAGTAAATAAAAGTAATGCACATATAATCATGTCAATATGAATTTACATTAATACAATGATGAATTACTGACCTAATAAAGATATTGTATATCTAATAAAAATATGTAAAAATTTTATTAAGATTTATATTCTGCAAATTATATTATTGAAAGTATTTAATTTATAGAATAGTAGATGACTTAATTTAATGTTAAAAGTATTTTTGTTTTAAATGTTTAACAAATGAATTTGATGATTATGATATTTCAGAAATAGATTGGATTTGTCCAATGTGTAAAGTATATATAAAATCTAAATTAGGGTTTATGTCTATGCATTAGATGTTAACGTAATGAAGCTATTTATAAATTGAAAAGAAATTTATTAGAAATTAATGGGAATTTAGATTTGTTATATGATTAATCTCTTTTTGAGAATTTAGTTAGCAATAAAAGGAAATTCATTTAAAATATTCCTTTAGATTTTATAAATAACTTAAAAGTAAATTAAGAAACTGAAGAAATATTTTCATCAAAAAATAATAAAAAATTAAAAACAAATATTAATAAATCAATTAAAAAAAAGAAGAACTCTAATACTATTTTAGTTTTGCCAAAATATATCAATAATGTTGACAGTTCATCATAATCAACAAAGATTAAAAAATATAATAAATTCAGGAGACTAATTCCTAATGATAGAATAACTGAAGATATTATATGAAGTTAAATCTTGAGTGTTCCTGTATTGATTTTAATATTAATTTTTTAAATAACAGAATTTCAGACAGATTTTAATTAGCAATTCTAAATGTTAGTAAATATTTTAATTATTGAAAAGAGTTTGTCCATTTACAAATGGAAAACTTATGAAAATCAATGATATAAGATTATTGAAATAAAATTTACTTATTACTTTAATTTTATAATGATTATACTTAATTTTTATATTTTAGTAAAACAAATTTCTCAAATTCTTGTAGATAGATGATGATCATATAAGTTCAATGAATTCTATCCAACTTATTGGAAACTTGATCTATAAGATTTAGAATTTCTTAAATTATCATCTGAAAACACTTAAGAAGGATTAGTGGCTTATAAATATAATGGTACTTAATTTAGAGTTTAAGGAGTTAGGATTTAATATTATTATTAATATTATGGAACATAATTTTGATAGCTTCTGTAATTACCATAAATAATAGGATCTATATAATCTAAAATATCTTTCTTTAAGCTTGCCATCATTAATTCTTATTGTTTTGCCAAATTTTCTTAGACTTTCTATATTTCATATTTTCTTTCTAGTTCTTTCACTCTCTTTTTCTCCTCTTTTTCCTTTTTTTAGGATTTATTATCGATTTAATACTAAAAATAAGGTGTATATGCATTTTTATTTTGAGAATATTCGTACAAGAGTTAGGGAGAGTAATATATTGGTTTTGGATAATATTGATTGTTTAAATACTGAGGTTCACTTACTGGCAACACTTGAGGTACTTATTCTTAAGGAGCCCTATAATTTAAACTCAAAATTTTATCTTATAAGTCTTTCAATCGACGATCAAATTAATATCGCTCGAAATCAATTCCTAAAGACATTTAATAAAATTTTTTATATTAATATATTTTGAATTACTTCAGTTCATTAATTTTTAAGGACCTTTACTATATTTTAATTGTCTTAGATGTAAAAAGTAACAGAATTTTGATTTCTCTCATGATTATTTCAGTAATTTTTATGATAATAATTGTCATGACCTTGGGCATAAATTAAATTTAATTATGTTTATTTTTAAGATTCAGTCCTTAGTTATTGTAAATTAAAGGATGGATTAGATCTCTTTACATTCATTTCAAGCATTTAAATAAATATTTGTATATAAATAGAATTTAATAAATTTACTAGAATAGTTTTTATTACTTATGCTATGAAAATATTATTTATTACAATAAAAATATATTTTTAATTTATGTATTGTTTAGTTTATCAAAATTTAACATGTCAATTTTTTTAAATTTCTAATCTCTTTAGCATTTTAAAGTATGATTTAATTAAAATTTAGTAATTTCACAGTCAATAATTCTTTGAAAAGAACTTATATAATAACTAATTTAAATATTATTATTAATCACTACCCACAAATTCTCAGAATTCATCACTCAATTTATTTGTGTCGCTACATCTATTTGTTATAGGCAAAATGCTTCATTCTAACCTAGCCCAGAGTACATATATGGAGATATATATTGGATCAACTGAGAGAGATAATAAAAAATTCTGCTTTATGAAATATAGGTTTCAGTTTCTTGCACTTTAAACTGTTTTTTTCACTTTTATTCTTAGGCGATATCCCTAATCACATTAGAACTTGATGCACTCTAAATCGAATCACTGCTTTTTGAGAAGCAATCACCAACCTTAAGCACAAAAACATAAAATAAATAATTAGTTTAAATATTAAATTTAAACAACTAAATAATTTTTTTTTTTAAATATGTTTAAAAAATAATTGAAAACTGAGAATTAAATTAATTTATGCGAAAGATTTTATAAAGATAAAAAATTATTATTCTTAATGTTAATATGTACAATACTATGATAGAAAAATTTTGCTTTAAATAACCACAATAGCTATTTTGTAATTTAAGACAATTATGTTATGTTAATAGGCATGAAAGAATTATTTAATATTATATATTTATTTGCATTTTATATCATTTATGGATAATTTATTACAAATGTAATATCCTTAATATAAAATATTCAAAGTGTAAATAAAATCATATCTGAAATATTTCTCGACTAAAAAAAGAATATAAAGCATATTAAATAAAGAATTGATAAAAACAAAAGATATAACCAAATCTCATTAATGAAATACCTAAATTTTTGAATATCCCAAAATACCATTTGAATTTTTAATTAAAATAATTAAAGTAATAAAAATTTGTTTAATTATAAGGTTTGAATAAATTTTTTAGAAATAGTATAATTAAGGTTTATTTCATTTTTTGGACATTCTTGGTGTTATAATTTCGAATAAAGGATTAATAAAATTCTGAATACTTTTTCATTAATGGAAAATAAGAATTAAATGAATAAAAAGTAATAGAAATCAAGGTCTTCTATAAGGTTTCTTTTAACTTTCTGTAAATGATAATTTCATTTTACTCAATTTCTCTTTTTGTTATTATATTTCTTATCTCAAATCTTCGATAGTTTTATCTGCATTATCTATTTATGATATTTTCTTATTTGGAGTCTTAACTGCAGTACTAATTATTGGACTACTATCATTCAATTGTTTATTTGCTATATGATATATATTGATAATACCTGTTAAGTTAGATTATTTTTGAAATGGAGATTTTTAATTTATTCTAAAAGGTGAGATTTATTTTGATGGCAATTAAATTATATTCTCCAATTTATTAATTTGAAGTTAATAATCTGATGAAATTTATTCCATTTTTTTATCCTATCTTTATTTAAGATCCTGATATCTTTATTCAAAATATTATCTTTCTCTGTTCATTGTGTATTCTGAAAACTATTATTAAGAAATTCTAAATTGAATATAAATATTTACAATTCCTCTTATTATTCTTTTATTAGTTTATTAAGATTTAATAGTTCTAATTCATAAATTTATTTTTGTTCAATTTTTAATTATTCTTATATTAATAATTAATTCTATAGTTCTTCATTTTCCCTTTGTAATGAATTAATTTAATTTTATAATTCAATATCATTATTCTTTGATATAATGAGTTGATCAATTTATTATTACTTTTATTTTAATTTAAATTAACCTTCCTCTTAAATTAATAATTCAGATTATTTAAATTATTATTTCATATTTTCTATTTTTTATTCAATTTCATAATTCATTTATTCAATTTCATATTATTTTTCAGCTTCAATCATTTAAATTTTATTTTCTGTTTTAATTAATTGTTATTTATATAAATTTTGTAATATTATTTTACATTCACTTTCTAATTACTTTAATTTGTTTATAAGCATATTTTTCATATCAAAAATTTATAAATTCATTAATTCTTTCTATCTATTTATAATTCGATAAATTCTCTATTTACATGTTTTTTGCTTAAAAAGTGACTCTTCTAACTATAATTATATTTAGTTTTTTTCATTTACAATTTAATTTATTATTTATTTTGAATCTTAATAATTTATTTTTTCTCTATTTAATAAATTATTAATTTCTTATTATGCTTTCATTAATTATTCATTATTTTTTTCTAGATCTTGTGCGAATTATTAATTTTAAATTTATAAAAATTCTAATTAATTATTACTTTCAATTTAATCCTTTTATAAATCTATAATAATTTTATTCTATTCATCCAGCTTTTATTTAAATTCATTTTTCTATTTTCTGTTTTCTATTTGTTATTCTTATAGTGTTTTTTATATTTTATTATTTTCATCATTAAAATTATCTTACAATAACATCAATTTTTTTTCTTTTTCTTAAATCTCTAAAACATATTACTCATTTAATTTTTTCATCTCTTCTTATTGTTTTTTTAAATCATCCCTTAATTATCTTACTTTTAAATCAAGCTTTTAACCTAGTCTTTAATATGAAAAACTTCCTTAAATTTCTATTTCTAATCCATCAGAAATTTATTAGAATAATCTTTAATATTATTACTTTTCTTTTTCAACTTCATTCAATTAATTTTAATTTGTTCTTATTGTATTTAAAGTTTATTCTGAAAATTTTTTAACATCTTCAAGTTCTAAAAATAAATTCTTTAGTTTTAAGTCCTTCTTTGATAACTCTAATTCAAGTTCTCTATTTAATTTTTCAAGTTCTTCTGAATGTAAGTTTAATTATTTAATTTCATCCTATAATTATATCAATTATTAATGAGAATGCTGAATTTGTCTTTAAAAATTATCATATTCTAAACTATATTAATAAAGTTTATCTTTTATTTATTTGATCTCTCTGATTTAATCTTAAATGGTTTTATCTTTACTTAAAATTATTTATTCATAATATTTTTTTAGATTATCTTCTATACTTTACTTTTCATTCATATATTATATTTCAATTTCCTGAAATTCATTTTTATACTATTATTCCAATTATTTTGTAGATTATTTATGATTTTATTGTAATTAATTTAATTAATTTTCAGAATCTTTTATTAATTCTTAAAATTCTTCTAACTATTATTGTTAATATATTTATATATTTTAAGCTTAATTTAATTTATTTTTTAGATCAGTTATTTTAGTATTACTCTTTTCTTTTAATTAATCTAATAATTCTTTTGATTTTTATTAATCTTATAATTTCTTAGTCTTCATTTTTTCATTTTCATTTTTTAATAACTCAATTTCTTAATTTAGTTCAACATTTTGATCAAGATATTATTAATATTTTTTTTTAAAATCTGATAGTTCTTTAAGAACTTTTTCAAATTCAATTTTAAAATCCCTATTTTACCTATCTAATTATTAATTTAATTAATTTAAGGATTCATTTCTCTATCTCTATTCATTAATATCTGAACTCAATGATTTATTTCTTTAATCACTAAGTTAAAGACTTTCTTTAATTCTAACATTTTCATTTTGTAATTATATTTCTTTATTTTACATATCTTTGATTTATTTATTAAGTTTTTCATTTAATAATTAATATTTCTAAATTGATTGAAAAAATGAATACTTAAAATTAAGATTCTTGAACTTCAAGTAAATCTTGGAGATTTTTTATTTCTCTAATATATTCTAATTAAAATTCTCTTTGTTTAGAATCAAATTCTTATAAAATTCTTTATTCTCTTTCTAAAAATTCTCTTCTTATTTAATCATTAAGAGCTTATTCAGATCTAAGTTCTGCTTACAAATGATGAATTTCATCAGTAAATTATTTAGAAAAGGCTTCAAGAGTAATTTCTTTTATTCTACTAAAGATGATGTTTTTGGAATCTCTATTTGATTCAATAGTTGAGTCAAGTAAAATTTTAGTAGAAACATCCATAAGACATTCTAAATATAAATATTAATTTGTTACATTCCAATTATGATTGACTACTGAAGAGCTTGGATGATGTTAGCATATTTAACGTATACAATATATATATATATAAAATCTGTTATAATTGTATATTTAATAAATATATATATATATAATAAAAATATGAAATCTCCTACTTATATTTTAAAGAATGCTTATTAAGAGCATTTAGTTGAATAATAATATATCAAACATGTTTCGAAGATACAAAATACTACTGCTAATCTTTAAGTGAGTTAGAGTGAATAAGATTAAATGAATAAAGTATGAGTATTTTAGTAAAATATAACTTTTTAGATAAAATATTATCGTTAATAAAAGGAAAGGACTCGTAAATTTATGGAACATTAAACTAAATTGTTTAGATAGTAATCAGATAATGTATTAGCAAAAAAAATGATTTCAGCTGATTCTAAGAGTAGAATAATTCATGAACCAAAGAGTGTAAAGTCTTTAATTGCAACAGCTTAAAAATAATAATCATATGAAATAGGATTAGAAAATATAAGATTAGGGAAAAGGATTTTGCATTTACCATCTGTTATAAAGAAAAAGGAATTTGATAAATCTTATGCTAAACATGAATAAAATATGATGTATGCAAGTAGAATGAGAAATTAAAATAAATCTAAAACTTCTTCAAATAAATTTATAAAAGATATTGGACCTATATTTACAGAAGTACCAATCTAATTCAAATTAGTTGTATTTAATAAAGAAGTAAATTTATATTATTTATAATATATAGTTACAAAATAAAGATTAAAAGACAGAATGTTTGTATTGTGTTGAAGTATATTTAAAAGATTAATTATTACATAGAACAGGTAATTTAATATATTTAATTTAGATTCTGTGTCATTTGATTAATTCTAATAATTAAATTTTAAAGTACCTATGAATGAATAATAATATGAAGGATATTAAAATGATCCATTGATTTTAAAGATTTGGAAAATAAAAAATAATAGTGAATTATACATGGGTTAAATATTTGTAGGATTTAATGATTAATTAAGTGAAAAGGATTTAATGAAGAAAGTAAATGATAGAGAAATTTGGAATGGTTTTATTTAATTATGAAATTTTTATGAAGAATTGATTTTAATTAAATATTAATTTATATTAAAATGCTACAAATATAGCATCAAACACCACCAGAAATAAATAGAATAAGATAATTAGTAATAAGATTGAATTATATTAGATTTGTAGAGCAGGTGATGAAGGAGCAGATACATTCAAAAAAGATCTATAAAAAATAGTTGATGTATTAGGGGAATATTATTAATAAAATAAATAAGAGGTAAAAGATGCAATGATATAATCATTCATTTAATGTGCAAAATTGTTACCACTCAAATCTGGAATATATGCTACAATATTAGCATTATTATCAACTAAATAAGTATTTATTAATGAAGTCATTATTTTTATTAGATAACATAATCTTTAACAGATTAAATTATTCTAGGATTACTTGAACATCTTCCATAAATAGCCTAAGAAGAAACACCTATATTAGGGCAAACTATTCTTAAATTTCTCAGTGAATTGATGAATGTAGGTCTTCTTAATACAGTGAGTTTTGTAGAATGTTTATATGATTTAGAAGGAGGAGCAGAGAATGAATAATCACCATTCTATCTTCAAATTTTATTAACAACAATTCCACATGCTATGATTAAAGCTATGGAAAAGAATTAGATTGAATTTAAAAATATTATTTAGAATGTTGAAGTATTAATGACTAAGAGAAAAACTGAAGATAGATTATTTCATTTATGGTAATCAATAAGAAACTTTTTAAATAATTAAGAGAAAGATGCTCATACCTAAATATTTTAATAGTTCTTGAAAACTTCTTATCCTAGACCTTATTTATTATTTCCTGATGAGATGACATAAGTTAGACAATTAAGAAGAGGTTTCAAAATTCCTATTGTAAAAAGAACCTAAATTTGGAGACCTTAATAAATATTGGTACTTAATGATGAAATTAGATCACAAAATAATAATAAAACTGATATTTAAATTGAGATTACTAGATAATGGATTTATGAAACTATTGATCTATTTAAAACTAATCGATAGTAAATTGTATTTCAATTTTAATTATATTAAAATTGTATAAAATTATCACCATCATAAGAGTATTTAATATTTTATAATAATTAATAGAGCTTAATTTAGATAAACATTAATATTCACTTTATTAAATATGGTTATTGAAGTTATTCCTAGAAAAGACTAATTATCCACAGCATTTTATAGTGGTCTACTAATTCATTTAAGTTAAAGAAATTCAGATAATATAAAAGAATGGAATGAAACTATTGAATAATTCATTGACTTAATGCCATAAAATAATATTTTGATTATTGAATAATTAAGTGATTGTTTATCCCATTATTTTTGTAATTCAAACTTTAAGTTGAATTGGGATAAGTTTTTTGGAAAATATAATCCTGATGAAACAGATAGCATTAATAATTATTTAGTAATTATGATATTTAGAAAACTATTTCTATTAGTAAGTGTTGACAAGATTACAGATTTAGTTCCAAAGAATATAATAGATTGGTATAATTAATTATAGGATATTACAAAACCCTTAGATTTTGAATAAATTAGTTTAGCTGAGAAAATTAATTCATATTTATAATAAAAATTGAATGGAATTGAGATGCTTGAATAATTAAAATTGATTACAAATCATAATCCAGATATTGTCATATAAACATTTTTAGAATGTTTATTATAATGTATATCTAAATCTATAACACATTTAAATGTATTAAGCAAAAGATATCTTTCATTTTTGTTATAACCAAATATAATAAAACCAGAAAAATTAGGAGAAATTATGCTTTAAACTATTTTCCGTATGTGGAATCATTCAGTATTTCATTTGAAAGTATATTTAAAAGAGTTTTTGAATTTGGAGGTAATTAGTAATTTATAAATTATCAATTGGTTGAATGATATAATCAAATAAAAATCAGATGTAAATTTATATATATTATAAAGAATTTTAAAATTTATAATGTATTGATTGCAATAAATGATGTATTCAGAAAATAAACAAAGTTAGATTAAGTTCAGGATTGCACATATGAAAATGTTAAAGAAATTAATACTATTTTGACTTAGATGATTGAATAAGAATAAGGTTATTATATTATTTAATATTATTTAGATATTATAATATAATCAAGTTTAGAAAATATTTAGCTTTAAATATTGATTGCATTTAAATCAACTAATGGGTCTCAATCAGAGAAGTTATTAAAAGAAATAAAATCAACTTAAATAAAATAAATAATTATGTCATTTTGAGTTTATATTTCATTTAATAATATATAATATATAAATAATTATAATGAAATAAATCCTATTCATATCTTTTTATGTCTTTAATGTATTATGTAACTTGAGATTCAGAGACAAAGAATAATTAGAGAGACATCATTCTCATACTGAAGTAGTTGATGAATTTTTAACTGTACATGTGATTCCTCATTCTCATGATGATGTTGGATGGTTAAAAACAGTTGAACAATATTTTTATGGTTTGAGAAATGATTATCAATGGGCTAATGTTGGATATGTGATAGATTCATATATAGAGGAATTATAAAGAGATGAGAATAGAAAGTTTATTTAAGTGGAAATCAAGTTTTTTAAGATGTAATTTTATAATAATATAAATAATAAGGTGGTGGGATTAATAAAATGAAACAACAAGAAATATTACAAAATAATTGGTTGAAAATAGATAATTGTAATTTATTTCAGGAGGATGGTGTATGAATGATGAAGCTACAACATATTATGAAGATATAATTGATTAAATGAGTTTAGGTCATAAATTCTTAAAAGATACATTTAATTATATTCCAAATATAGGTTGGTAGATAGATCCTTTTGGTCATCAGAATTCTTAAGCAGCCTTATCTTATTAAATGGGATTTGATGCTTGGTTTTTTGCAAGAATAGATTTCGAAGATAAAGAAACAAGACTTGATAATAAGAATATGGAAATAATTATGTTACCACCTGCTGAAGGAGTTTAATATCCAATATTTACACATATTCAATATTATCATTATGAAGCACCTCCAACATTTAATTTTGATATTCTAAGAAGATCAGATGCAATTGTTGATAATTAAAAATCTGAAAGTTATAATATTAAAGAAAGATCAGATCAATTAGTTTCATATTTTAAATCTCAATCACTTCATTATAAGAATGATCATTTAATTCATACATTTGGTTCTGATTTCTGTTGGTCCAATTCTAAAGTATTTTATCAGAATCTAGATAAATTAATCAAATATATTAATATGAATCCAGAATATAATATGAAACTATAATATTCAACACCTGAAGAATATATTGCTGAAATTAATAAGTAAAACACTATATATGAAACTAAATCAGATGATTTCTTTCCTTATTCTGATGAACCACATGCTTTTTGGACTGGTTATTTTACAAGTAGAGTAGCAATTAAAGGTTATGTAAAAAGATTAGGTAGATAAGCATAAACTTATAGAAAATTTATTGCATTACTTTATTAATAAGAATTAATTTAGGATAATTATTAAAATATTACAGATACTATTTATGAATTAGATAATGCATTAGCCATTTGTCAACATCATGATGCTGTTACTGGAACTGAAAAATAACATGTTAATGATGATTATATCAATATACTTTATAAAGGAGAATAACATATTTAAAAATTAACAAGAAAATTCTTATCTTAATTATTATATAATACAACTACTATAGACTATGAATAATGTGAATATAATATTACTGCTTAATAATGTAGTAAGACTTATAATGCTCTTAAAGCTAATAAAACTGTTATTCTTACAATAATTGATGGAAAAGTCAAATAAGAAAATAATACTGATATCATTAGGATTAAAGTTCCAAATTTAAAATTA